GAGCGACTGCATCGCGCGATGCAATCGCTCTAGGCACTGCGACTGCATCGCGCGATGCAATCGCTTTGCCGAGAGACTCGGCGATTGCATCGCGATGGACCAGTGCTGGAGCGACGCGATCGCTCCATCGCTTGTCCACCGCGATGCAGTCGCTCTTGCAATGTGCACAAGCGACGGGCGATTGGCATCGCTCCAAAGTGCGAGCGACGGGAGATTTACCCGAGCGGCGCCGTGTGTATCGGTCGTCGGCGGGGTAAATCGCTCGCACTTTGGAGCGACGACAATATAGCCTGTTGAAGTAATAAACAACTCGAACTTAGTGCTTTTCGCAGTTGATCCTCATTCCTTTCAGCTTAGGTTTCTCACGAAATCCATTGTTGGCCTAGCATTGAAACTGACAATGAGTCGGCGAGAAAAACCCGTCCGGCGTTTTTTCCCGTGTAGATATAACGGCGAGTTACAGGAATGTGCAAGTTCACCTCAATTGACTAATTTATTCATTCATTGCACGAAAGGTACGCCAATCAATATTAGGAGAAAATGAAAATCAATGATTCAAGCAATTATACCAACACTTGAAGGAGAGGAAGAACACATTGAACTGAACACACAAAAACACCAACATTCAACCCACGGAGTGAAGAACAATGGAGTTCTGACACCGGCACACAGCTGCTCAAAGTTATAATAGCAAGGACTGCAAAGGGGCAAGTGGGCCCTGCGGGGGGGGGGGGGGGCAGTCGCCGCGCGCGCTCTTGCGGCAACAGGAAATTCGTGAGCCAGGGGGAGTGTAGCCAATTCAGGGGGTTGGGGGTGAGGGCAGTCACATGACATGCGTGAGAAGCTGGAATGTTCGAATTTCCTGTTGCCGCACAGCCGCGCGCGGTGACTGCCCCCCCCCCCCGAGGCACATAGCGCCCAGCATCACTCTACGGGCCTGGCTATTTTCTATCTTTCGCTTAGGCCAGGCAATAAAAATTCCCTTCGAATTCTCCTTTTTTTTTGGTTTTTTCCTTTTTCCAACAAAATGCGCGCAAAGTAAGAGAACCGTGTCGTTGAAAACAAATAAATTTGAAGGATTTATTTGTTCTCCTGGCCTGGGGAAGGAGGTTACGACCCTAGAATAGGCAGCTGTAGGACTGGGTAAATCCCGCGACTCGCAGGGTACGAGCGGCGCACCAGCGGTTCGAAAGATGTACCTACAATCGAATTGACAGTGTTTGAAAGTGGCGGGAGGCGGGAATTTCACTTATGCGCAATCGACTCTCTCCACTTTCCCGCACTGTCGTAGGGGTGTGGTTCACTAGACAGAGAGCGATTTTTTTGCGTTTCGCGCGTGAAACATTTTCCGATGCAGGAACCTGAGGTCCACCGCTGATCCTTATCATGATGCTGGCCATGGACCTGGAGTTCCCGCAGCGAAAAATGTTGGCGCGCGAAACGCGAAAAAGTCGCTTCCTGTCCCCGTGAACCACA